CACTGAACGTGGTATATCAGGACTTGGAAAGCTTCACCATCAAGATAGTAAACACCGGAATCCTAAATCTTCGGGGAAGCTGCGAAGCACACACGACCTCAGATGTGATAAAAAGCACAGGAATAGCAGAAACCAAACTGCCGGAACTCCATGTTGCCCCGATGAATCTTGATTTGTTGGTGTTATCACCGAATCTGACGCGGGAAATCCAAGTACCAGACCTGTTGAGAACAATAAAATTAGATCCGTTGCCAACCAACACCCATATAACTGACATGACAACCTACCAACACACGTTAGACATGATCGCAAACCACAAGATGGAGGATTATAAAAGTGATTCCATCCACATGGGAATGACCAGTATAATCGGGTCTACCACGACAATTGTCACCATCGTAGTAATCGTCTTGCTGTGCAAAATGGGGGCATGCAACGCAGCCACAAAAACCTACTGCCAAAAAGAGCCGGAAAGAACCTTCCCACCGCAACCAGTAATCACGGCGCCACGGCTGAGGTACGAACCAGAAGAGCAACGAGTGGAAGTCATCCAACTACGACCACAAACACCAACACCACAACCTCCCCAACCATCAATTGTAGTTCAGGGAAACGTCAATCAGGGCTTCCATCTCCCGCTTCCACACTAGAAATACACACAAGTAAGGAATAATGTCTATTGGGCTGACGAAGGACCCAAATGAGGGAAAACAGCATTCAAAAATTTTAACATTGAACAAAAAAAAAAAAAAATTAGAAGCTCAAAAGAAATTTATATATTACCAAATATATAATAACCATATAATAGACAAAATACATAATAGATATAATAGATGAAATACATAATAGATATAATAGATAAAATACATATATATATATGTATATATATATATATATAAGAGAAGGAACTATCCAGCTGGAGCCGGTGGCTGCCCCACAATCCACTAAAAAGGGAAAAACAAATATTAATTAAGATATTAATTACAACAGATAACTTCATATCC